ATTATGGATGGTCTTAATGATCACAGCACACTAGAAGTGAGGGTAACTGTATTAAAATCAGTGGAAACATTGACTAGACTAGCCAAAACTCACTTGTTTCATTGGTAGACTTGTGTCTCCAAGATGGGTGTAGACATTTTTTGTTTATAGCCATGACTGACTTGCAAAAGCCCAGCTCATAACTGTAGTCTGTAAGATGTCATCCAGTTCTCCATATCCAACTTATCTGCTGAGCAAGCCTTCATATTTTTTTGCTTACTGTCACTTCTGTCAGCATCTTTCTGAATCATCTCTTCTGCAAGCTCTGTGGCTGCAGGACTCGTGTTTTGGGAGGTCATGTAGGGAAGATAGCACTGTTTGCTTTCTGTGTGTAATAGCTCAGCTCAAGGCAATATGACTATCCATGAATATATCAATGTTGATACAATTATCCTTAATTGTTCTGGGGGGGGGGGGAAAGCTGAAAAAAAAAACTCAAAAAGTTTAAACTTAAGGAAGGAAAAACGTTTTAAAGGCCGCAAATTTGTCCTGCTTGCCCTCTTATGATTTGAGGGGGTTTGATTGGTATTTTGATTGGTAAATTATATTTACTTGTAATTAGAGAAATCTCAGTAATAGCATCTGTCTACAGTGCAGAAAGCTGTACTTCTGCTGGCTGTCTACAGGTGTTCAGGGTCCATGAAGAGAAGCTGGTAATACTGAAGTATAATGCAGACTATCCAAAAGCAAGTATCTGAACTAGGCCAGATGAATCACCTCTTAGGAAAGTTCCTCTCCTTTGACTATAAAGAAAGTCTACAGCAATTAGCTCGGCTATGGACATCTCAACTCTAGTTATCCAGAACAGCTGAAATTAGTCTCATCATTGGTGTCAGCAAACTGAAAATAGCCTATGGTAAAACCCAGTTTCTTTTCTACAGCTTGGCTCTGATGTGAAAGTCTGTGCTATCACAAAAAAAATGAATATTACGGGGTTCCAGGTTGCCCCTCCCTGGCTGTGAGAGGAGCCCCTGCCTCTAGACCCCATGGTGGGCTCAGGCTTGCAGCAGAGCACCAGAAAGACTCATCACCTCACCAGATCATTAGACTGACTCTGTGATCAAAGGCAATGTGTCATTTATGGATATATTTTTGTTCCATAATGCAACTAATTAATTGACAAAATTTGTGAAGACAAAAGGCGGTGAATTTCCTCCCTGCTCTCTCAGCTGTCCTCAACAACAGGGTGTTATCCAGGACTCAGCCACTATGCTGACGCAGCTCCCCAATTTCCTTTCCCCTGCTCCATTTCCTTTCCAAATTGAAAACCATTAGAAGTCTTTAGGCAAATAATAGAAACCTAATGCAGGTGTGTGTTATAAATTGTTCACTAGTTACTTTTAACCTAATGTCTTCTCAAACATTACTTTGCAGAAGGCAGCGAGGGTAGGAAATGACTCATGAACTCTGACGATCATTGGGTCAGGAGTTAAGGTTGTAATAATGTAGCCCATTTCTCTTTGTTTGTCAAATAACCTGAGCAGTTAGATCCCTGATCTTTCATCTGAGATTGACTCCCCTCAGTAAGAGCATGGGTCCTGCAGAGAGCAATCTTGGTCTAGGGTCATAGCCTTCTGTACGACAGAAGTGGGGAAGGTGCCATATGGCTGGTGGTGCCAGCTACTGCTAGTGTAGGGTTTACCCACTCACAAAGCTGTAGCTTTCCTGGCATGATTTGATTTTGTGCACAGTCTAGATCTGCTATATGTCTGAGGTTAAATCAATCAATGTTTAGGGGGTAGCTTTACTTTCGTAAATAGAAATGACTTGAGAAATTTGAAGTATTCTGCAGGCAAAATAAAATAGGAAGTAAACATTAATAACAAGAGTTAGTAATTACCAGGTTTAACGCAAAATAGACAAATGTACAGAAGTGCCTATTAATTCTGAATCACTGAAGCAAGTATCTAGGCTCCAGAGTTGCAAATGCTGCCTAAAATGTCAATGTGATTACTCAATGCTAAAATTCGCCTTCATCAGCTAGGGATCACGTGTCTTATTCTCAGAGAAAAATTCCTCCCGTGCTCACTGGAAATAATATCAAGCAGTTCGCAGGGGATAAACCTCCAACTCTGTGTATGTACAAAACAAGGCATGCTAGAGGACAATCTGTTAGCATAGATGCTCCTGAACACATCGGGCAACTGTCAGGTTGTTGGAAGTATTTCTCATAATTCTGGGTGCCCTCACAGGCAGCATTGAATGGTGCTATGTTGGTCACAGATCACTTTCCCCATTTGGCTCCCCAGTGAGGTGTAAATATTTCAGAGCTAATGCATAAGTCATGCACACCTGTGTTTCTCAGTGCCATAGTAGTGAGACATAACTCTTGGGTATTTCTGAGCACAGAGGAACATGGATTATTTTCTGACATTGTAAATGGAAAATACATGGAGATTTTTAATGTTTAACACTCAGATTGCTTCTGCAAATTCTTGGAAACCGTTGCCTCCAGCCCCAGGCAACATTTAAGTGATGTTCTGCAAACAACTGCACTTTGCCAGGACTGGCAGACTCCTCAGGCTGTGTCCACACATGACTACCTACTGGGGCCCCATATCACTGAAAGCTAACATATGGAGTTAATTCACTCAAAAATGAACACCCTAAGCACACTGGCTATTGCTGTGCAGGTGGACATTGTGATAGCAAACAACATCAGAGGATTTCATTTTATTGCTGCATTAAATAGGTGTTGGATGCTTTTCTGTTTCATTTGTAGCTAAGTCCAGATCTTATAGAAAATCCTGTGTGCATTCATCCAATTACCCTCAGATGAGAAGAGAAAAAGAGTTAAGTTTATTTATGGATAAAATGTCTGAAATAATAAAAGACATAACCCTGTGTACTGGACTGATTGGGAGGGGTGAAGAAGGTATGGCTCCCAGAGAGCAGAAGAGCAGGAGGGCTTCCCCAGATGGTTTGCTTTGTATTTGCAGAGCCTGGTGCTTTGACTGAGAGGTGAAGGGGGAGAGGAGGAGGCACACCAGAGGAATGCTAATGTAAGGAGAAGGAAGCAGTTGGTCTCACTGCCCTGAGAAGGATATTGACAGAGGTCCTCAGTGGTAGGCAGAGAGGCTCACGGGTTTCTGTACAAGGGAATTGCCTCCTGGTGTACTCCTGCTGCACTGAGGAAAATAAGACTCTGTCTATGTTGGCAAACAAGTAAAATAGAAAAAAACATTAGCTGATTCTTTTTGTGAACCTTCCAACCAGGAAAATACTATATACTGTTCAGGAAAGTATACATTACTTTTTTGAGATGCTGAGTGGGACTCAAATGCCTCTGTGGCAGGCAGTGCCTCGTGAAATGTTTGATGTTAGTCCACGAGAAAGACACAGTTAACTAGATGGACATACATCAATCTAACATAACCTTTTTTTTTCTCATTAAAGCAGTGACCCTAAAGCAAAGCAATTTTAATGTACAGAGTATAGACACTTTTCTTTGTAGGGAATACATTTGTCATTTGTCCAACTCAACTCATACGTAGTAACAAAACAAGTAAACACAAAGTCTTTGTAACTCCATTTCTCCTCTGTATCTTTCCCATGTGCTCCCATCTTCACTGCTTGGGGTTTAAGATTTCCAGCTCTTCTTTTTTATTTTTTTTTCTAATAGATACTCCCAAACACTTTTTTAGGGCCACATTTGCAGTAACAAATAGAGATTGAACTTTCAACACAGGTATACACCGCTGTGTACTTCATCACCAAGACTTACAACTTCTCTATGAGACTGTTGCAACCAGGGGGTCAGATGTGATTAACTGAATTTTTCACAATACTTATACCTGTCCTACAAATGTCACAATGCTGCAATTCCACAATACTACTAAACTGTTGTCGTTTTTATCCTGATATAGGTGTGAAATAATTTTGGTATCTCTTGCAGTTATATACATTAAGCATGACAACAGTGCTATACCATGTCATCCATTACTAGTCCCAGTGCTGTGTGGAGATTATGAAGTACTGTTGACCACATTTACTAAGTGGGGAATCATTGGCTGCACCAGCCCATTATGTTTAAAATATAGTTTCCTTCTCTATTCAACTTTTTTCTTATATAGCATCAATGGATTTTACAAGAGAACATGGCCCCAGCTACGGTGCTGCTAACCCAAAAACTTGCTGCAGTTTTTTATTTTTTCTGCTAATTCAATAGGCTTCATCATAAGAAAAAATAATATTGGTGACTCTGTAAAATAATTCCTAAAGCTTTTCTAAAATTGAAGTAACATCATAGAAAAGTCTGTAAGCATTTTGCCACTGACTCCAATGAAATTAGGATTTAATCCTAGAAAGTGTCTATCTGGACTGAAAAAAGCACATCTTTCAATTGCCATCACCATTATCCAAAGAGGCAACAGAGGAACAAAGCTGATCTCAGTAATGAATGCTCCATCCCTGAGATCACAGTGAAAAGGGCACCAATATAGCTGCTCTCAGAGAAACTAAAAGTAAACTGGACTGGAAGTCAGATCTGTTTTTTTTTCTTGGCATTTTTTAAAGACCAGCTCCAGAAATGTTACTTGCATTTTATTTACTACTTATAGTGCAACAGCAATGAAACCTAACATTACAGGGAGTGTGTGTTCCCACTAGAAAATGTCTTCAACAGTTCATAAAAACCTGGCCATTTATCAGCACTGCAGGAGATCTTTATTACCTCCCTACAGCATATGCTCTCCTATGATGTAGTTATTGATTTAACAAGTAAACTTCGTGGTGAGCTTTTATCCTGGAATTAGCAGCAAGATTGAAATAGAGCCCTTATTATTGTAATAACACAGAGATGTGAGATTCTCGCATATTCCAGAGGCCGTATCATCACCTTAACAAGCATCCTATTAGAGCTGTCTGGCTGCCACATCAAAACGTGGGCTGTGAGAACTTTAACAATCATATCATACTCACCCCTGGCAACTTTCACAACCTTTTTGTTTTTCTTCCTACAGGTTTGGACATCAGGCAAGCTCAGGTTATTGTGCTGTCATCGGGTACCAAATGTATAAATGGGGAATACATTAATGACCAAGGGCTTGCGGTCAATGACTGCCATGCAGAAATTTTGGCAAGAAGGGCATTTGTTCACTTCCTCTACTCACAGCTGGAGCTGCACTTAAGGTAACTGAATTCTGTTGTTTTTTGGGGACTGTTATATGGCCTTCAGAGGCACAGATCGATCTGTCCTCCAGACAATTGAACTATTTGTTTCTATATGTCATTGTTTCTGAGTCTTTAGGTGATGAAGGACCAATACACTGCACAGAAAAATAAATGAGACTTAGATAGTCTAAAGTGTTGGGTCATGAGCTCCTTAACTTCAGCTGATTTTCTTTCAGTAGCGGTTAGACATGACTCATAAAGTACGGCTTTATGAAGCCTGATGATTCTGTACAAATCTTTATGTGCAGACTTATTAGCATCATTCACTGGCCAGAGACTGGAAGGGGGTCATTTTGCTCACTGCAGCCATTTCCCCATCTTCCTTGCTGCTTCTGAAAGATCTCAAGGAAGTGATTTATTGATCATTAATACCTTCATTGACTCACTAGAGAACTGATGAGTGTTAACAGCACAGTAAACTTTGTGCCAAAGTGTAAGATGCTATCACTCACTCCTTCTTTATGATGTCTTAAAATGTTATAGCATGTAGAACCATTACAGTGGAATTATTGATACTCTCTTCAGCCAAATCCACCTGGCAACCATTTAAATGGTTAATAGGTCATACACAGCCTAGAAGACGGTAATAAGTGGGGTACTGCAGAAGTCTGTGTTGGTACCTCGCTGATCATGTCTACCAACAATCTGTAAAAGGTCATGTAGTGCTTGTTTTTAAGCTTTGTAGAGGACACTAAAATGTGCAGGGGACCAGCCAATATTCTTGAGGGCTGATCTGTCATCCAGGCAAACTGGAGGACTGGACCAGTAGGAACTTTGCATTTGTCCTTGTTGAGTTTTCTGTCAAATTCTCACACCAAGGAGGAAAGAATGACCTGCAACAATACAGGCTGGGGAGCAGCTCTGCTGAAAAGAGACAGGGTTCATAGAAAGATGGATGTCAAAGAGTAGTGTGCCTGGCAGAAGAGAAGGTCAACAGGATCCCTGGAAGTATGAAGAGTCAGACAAGGGATGTGATCTTCCACCACTAATCAGCACTCATTAGACTACATCTACAATACTATGTGCAGTTTTGGGTCACCCAGTGAAGGAAAGACATCAACCATCTTACATGGGCTCAGCGAGGGCTGTCCAGATGCTCAGGACCCAGAGCACTTGGGCTACATGGAAGGGCTGATGGATCTGGACCTGTTCAGCCTGGAGGTGGGATGGCAGACCCAGCAGAACATATGTCAGCAACACAACAGAGCTGACATCTTTACCGAGGTGTGCAGTGGGGAGGTGACAGACAAGAGGCACACACTAAAACAAGAGAAGCTCAGTCTGAGTATGAGGATTAATTTTCCTCATGGGAATAGGCAAACAGTGGGACAGGTCAATCAGCAGGACTGTGCAGCCTCCCTCCTGTCTTGGACATTTTCAAAACCTGAGTAGATAAAGCCTTGAGCAACCTGTCAAACTATTTTGACAGGAAGGTTGGGCTGAGGCCTAAGGTCCTTACCAGCCTGAATTATCCTATGATCCTATGGAAACTGAGTAGAAGTGAAGCTGAGGTGGCAGTTATTATATGGAAGGAACCAAGGAATGAAGGAAGCGAGGAAAGAAAGCAAACAAAAAACCCCTTCTCTATAGGTCATTCTTCTTCCCTCCATTCTTGTGTGCAAATTCATGTGACTTTTTCTGAAGGCCATTAACCTCAGTGCAAAAACTTCCTTTGACTCCAGAAGGTTTTGCATCAGGTCACAGACACAAGGATTAATCTAAACAGAATTTTGTGTTCTTGTAAGCACTTGTGATACTATTGCACTGAAGCAACAATAATAGGAATAATGGTTATTTTCACTTCAGGCTGGAGTGGAAGGCAAGAGAGTATATTGAGTACATGAATTTGGCTAACAAAGAGGGACAAGAGCATTGAAGGGTTTAATCAAAAATAATATTTTCTCTATTTCTGAATTGCTTTTTAGTTTACATTAAATTATTATGTTTTCAGCAGTGTAGCAGCCCTAGTACTTGATTTGTGCTATGGTCTCTTGGGAAACAAGTGCTAACATTGTATCTTAAACTTGTATTGATCCACATCCTTAACGTGTTCAGTCATATTATTATTTTATTTGGATCAATGTTAACAGTCTTTTGTTAAGAGAATCCTCGGTGCAGCAAAAGCTCTGTTCACAATAACTTCAAATCACTCTCTGTTGAGCCAAGACCAGGCACCAGCGCTGCCCTGACCAGCACACACAATAAAAATCTCAACCAAAATTGTCAAGGCTAAGCACCTTTGAAAGACAGAGCTGGAGATACTGTCAAATCAGATTTTGCTTCCTTAAAGTCCACGGGGAAGCAAAACTGTGTGTTGTGATATACTCTATGATTCTATGATTCAATTCTAATATTTATTGCTACATACCATCATTGGGAGCTTCATCGTATGATGAGAAAATGGGGTATTTCAAAATTAAATAAAAAAATGCATTTTCTGCATATTGAAGTCACATTTACCCCTTTTTCTCTAGAAAAAGACATCTCCTATTGCCAGAGAAAACACCTGGTGCTCCTGTATAGCTAAAAGAACAGGCTTTTTAGGACAAACATGTTAGCTCAGCTCCACTGGGACTCCCTGCACACCACTTCAGGCTTGGAGGAAACATAAATATGGCTTCTGCATTGTAATGCATTTGCAATAACCTAGCCCAAATAAAAGTCCTCTCCCAGGCCAGGAACCTGTTGTACAAAGTCATATATGAACTGAGATAAAAAGATGGTTCCCTAACCCAAACAGACAATGAAAGTATTGTTCTTGACCCAAAGAGCTTGAATTTTCCACCACTCACTATGAAACAGGCAAGTTTGTTCTGTGGAGATTATTTCCTATTTTCCACACAACTGCCTCCCACCAAGCCTACCTACTTTAACTGGTCTCTGCAGCTGGATTTCAAACTTCAGGAACTTCCAGTGCAAGAGTTATTTTTCTATATTATGCTGTCTTTGAAAAGGATCCTCTTTTCCAGAATTTACAAATACTACCATTGATCTCATTGAAAGCAAAACACCTACTTGTCTGAGTGTAACATGAAGGCTTCTAAGAGCAGTGACAAGCAGGTTGGAGAAAGAAAGAGCCAGGATATAAAACTAATGGCCAGGAGACACAGATTCACTGAATTAAATTTACTTCTTGGCAGTCAAATGTGACCCTGATCCTCAAGGATCCTTTTATCACCAGTGGGGAGAAATTGGCATCTGTGAGGTGGGACTATCGTGTATCTATACTACATAAGTATCTGTTGTGGGTGAGATTAATTGCCATGTACTGGGGTAATTTTTTTCCCATTTCTATAAAGAGAGAATAAGGCAACATCTTCACATATTTAAGCTGCAGAACAATTCCATTTACAAGCCAAAGTTTCAGCAATATATAAATTATTTTTTCCCCTTCTCTCCTTATTGCTAAATGTTAGGGGTGTGGCTTTCCTGACTTTTTTGGGGAAAGAGTTCCAGAATGGGAACTTTATCCTCTCTAAGAAGCAAGAGCAACAAATACTTCAAAAGGAAACTTTCTGTCAACAATTCATTGTCTAAAGCTTGAGTTAAATAAAAGCTAAAAGCACGACTAAAACCTGACAGCTTCTAACCTGTCTGATTAAAACTCTTAGCCCTCCCGGATTTCATTTTTATGACAACCATAATCCTCCAGTTCTCAAGATTTTCACGAAAGAGATGAGAAGTAAGACGTAAATTTTCTGATGTACAAAAGAAGGACAAGAAAGACCTTTTGAGAAGTTTTTTTCTAAAAATCACCATCAAAAAGCACACAAATACCACAGTCCAATTTTCTTGCAATGATGGTAGGAAAATTCACATTGATCTCAGTGGCATTATTTATACCAACTGGCCAATAGGGAAGAAAAGAGAATCCAACTCTTATTTTTTAAAGAAAAATAAAATCAATGGACTATTCTTAAAATAAATCAGCACCACAGTAAGCTTGCTGCTGCAGTGGCCCTGCAGGTGCTAGAGAGATGATTTTACCAGAAAGTAAACTGTTCCAGCAAGTCAGACGCAAACCACTATTTATTTTATAAATAAAAAGCAAAGAATAGTCTTAATCCAGTACAGTTCAGGGTTTTTTTCCCAGGAAAACCAGCTGCTTGTTATACATCTACTATTTCTTCATGAACACAGCTCCTTCCTTTTAAATCCGCTGTTAGTTTCTCTAGGATGATGTGTCATTGTATGTAGTACCAGAAACTTTCCATACATACATTTACATGCTAAAAACAGGCCCTCTGCTTCTTAGACTTTGTTTCACCAAAATGCTTTTTGTATATTAAACCATAAGTATGTGCTTAAGTATCTTCTTGAAGTCAGCTCAAAACATAGATGTGTTATGCTAAATAATGGACTTTAGCAGAAGATTAGAATTTCACACATTCTTAAATGTTCCTCTTGAAGCAGCCTCAAATCCCAACTCTCCCACAGGAATTCATAACAGGCAAAGGTTTAGGGACAAATTCTCCTCTTTTAGTAACTGCCAGCATGCAAAAATGACACTTTAATGCCACCCTCTGAATGAGTGGAATCTGTGGGCTCACTGTGGGCTTCTTTCTCCCTTGGTTTGTGCAGGTGTGTATGGCTGTGAGAAAGGCATTGCAAAGAACAGCTACTGCAAAGTCATCTGCCCCCTCACAGCTCAAAATATCTATCCCAGAGGGAAGACAGAAGTGTACCGGTGCTGGAGTAGAAGTCACTTTGCAGAAGCACATCTCATGCTTCACCTGGACAATTTTCACAAGATCCCTGAGTCCCCCTGGGCTTTGAAATACCCTGAACATCCCATCCACAAGAATCTTTGCTAAACCATGGTAGATGGTTTGCAACACAAACTTTTACAACAGTGCTCTCAGAGTTTTGTTATTAAACCTATTCAACCACAGTGCAGGAATGAATCTCATGTTTGAGTTCAGCTCCCAGAAAACCATCCCGAAGGCAGGTCAGGACCGTATGTGATACAAAGAATCTCAGCCTCCTGGAGGAAAGAGTCCTCCAGCCCTGCCATCTATTTTTAGAGCAGCTGTCTATCACCCAACCTGTCAGCCACAGTGGCCGCAGACCCTTCTTGGTACTCAGGGAGAGGTAAGAGAGCAAGGTTAATCAGTGAAAAACAATAACCAGTGAAAACAGGATGCGAGCTGATCACTAAACTCCTGAAATCCAGCCCAAAGCATGACTGCTCCAACCTTACATAGCAACTGTCTCTAAGTAATGCAAGCTGCACCCCCCCCATCCCCCCCCCCCATTCTGCTGAGGTTTAACATAATAGTAGCAGGCATTTGGACGGCACAGTTTTGTATTCTCCTAGCTGATTTTGCAGTGAATTATTTAAAACTACCTACAATTGCTCCAAAGTCCAAGCAGCAGGACTTATGGATATCTTATTCTTGTATTCTTAGGCTTGTATCAGGGCATTCATATAATTAGTGCAGTTGGGAAATTCCACCACAGCCAACGGAAAATGAAGGAGCTGCATGTGGTGGCCCCAGCTCAGCAGCCAGTGTTGCTCCCTGTCCCTGACAGGCGAGCTAATGTGCCTGTAAATTCCTCCTGACAGCAAACGCATCCTGGCATCAAAAAATGACAAAACACCCAAACCATGGAAGAGCGACAGCCAAACAGCTTCAATAGCACAGAGGCTGCACTGGGAGAAAACAGGCAGAGGCAGCTTGGATTAAAGCCAAGGACTTGCTCAAAGGCTGAGTAGAAAGCACCCATTTGCACTAACAGGAGGCAGAGACACCAGCAGAAATCGCCTTGGTTAATGGGCTGTCCTATAGTGAATTAAACGGGTAGGATTCCCGCTTATTAAGAACATCCCAAGGATACCATTACCTGCAGGTGCTGTTCTGTTCAGAGATATTCCTACCAAAAGACCCTTGCATTTCTGAGGGAAGGACCAGGCCATCAGACAGAAAGGAGTCTCATCATAATTTCACTAATCACATTTTCACCTTCAGAATTGCAATCATGACCATCACCCAAATGTACATATTAGAGGCAGCTGCCTGTCAGAGAAATCACCCATATCTCCCAAATGTAACCCATCGGAGGACCTGCACAGTGGCAAAGCCTTAATGCTCTGCTATTGCTGCAAACGGCAGGACTGGGAGGGTTTGGCCTCCCGGGCAGCTGTTGCTGATGGAATATGTGCACTGCGTCCCCATCTAGCTGCTGAACCACTGCGAAGATAAAAGCTTCAGCTTAATAAGTATCTCTTTCAACTCAGCTGAGAAAAGCTCACTCAAGTTTTGTCCTCGCTTCTCCGGATGGTTTTTGATTTCCAAAAATGCAGAGAGACCAAGGGGACACAGCTGGCCTAGGTGGAGCACTTGTAGGTGGCTCTGGCAGAATGGGGGAAAAGAGCAACACCTGGGGAGCAGGGAGGGCTGGCAGTGGTCATAAAATCTGGGTGCTTCATCAGGGGCCCTTTTTGGTGGAACATATAAACACATATCTTGGCTGTGGTGACTGATGTTAATGGTATCTAAACATGTGCCTCAGCACTGTGATGAGCAGAGCTGATGTGTTCACATGAGAGCCTAAGAGAACTTTTTCTCTTTTTATGCACCAGAACCACTTTAAAATCAATATGTTTATGCATCCCACACATGTGAGGAAGGAGAGTTACCCTTCAAAAATCCATGTTTTATCATTCAAATGTTTTCTAGGTAAGCTAGCCAAAAGCACTTTGGCAGTTTTGACCCCCTTTACACATTCCTTTACTTGGAGAAGCTTATCGTTTTCCTCTTGTTGTCACTAGGCAAAATATATGATGCCAGGTGCTAATAAAAACAAACAAACAAGCAGAGGGAGAAAAGGAGAGAGAGAGCACAGAAATGTTTCTGATTTGGCATGTAACAAATGACCTGGAACCTCTTTTGTGATCATAGCAAACGGCGAGAAGACTGGGAGCGATCAATCTTCGTGCGATTAAAAGAAGGAGGCTACAGGCTGCGGGAGAACATCCTGTTCCATCTGTACGTGAGCACTTCACCCTGCGGAGATGCACGCCTCAACTCCCCCTACGAAATCACAACCGACTGTAAGGAAAAAGCATCTTCCCTCTGCTTTTGGTGTGGGCTTTGCCTTTTTTTTTTTTTTTTTTTTTTAAGATCAGTCTTTCTTTCTTTGTTTGTTGGCAGAAAGCGTTTTGCTGGAGAGCAAAAACACTACTACGAGTTGTGGGGAGGGGGTGTGAGTGTCTGTAGAACACACCCCATCTGCTGGGGCAGCCAGGGTGTGCAGGGAAAATCAGAGCTGGGCAAGGCAGTGGGAGACTGCTCTGCACTCCTGAGGCTCAGTGGTTTTGCTAGGGAATACATCCCCAATAGCCTGCATTTCCTGCTAGGAGGTGCAACCCTAACAGTAAATAAATGCCTTCCTGTGATGAAAGAAATCCTTGAAGCCATGGCCATAGGCTAGGCTAGAGGATCGAGACTCTAGCTGGAGATGCATAGACTCTTCTCAGGGTTCACACAGTATGTGTGGTTTGAAGGGCTGCATCTACAATAAACCAGTGCTGTCCAGGCTGCAGCTGCTGGAGTAGAGTAATGAGATGGTATGATATGATAAGATGTGTTGTGATATGATATGATGTGATACAGCACATCTGTAGTGTTGATTGATGGTCAGACTCTCTCCAAATACTACCTGCACTTGCAGCGAATAATGTAAAAACCCTTATGGAAAGGATCCTTCCCAGGCCATCTTGCCTGTCAAATCAACTGCACAGTCACTGCATGGCAGATGGGCTAGTTGGAGTCCACCAGGTCAGCTTTGGAGTCCCTAGACCCATACCTATGGCATTTAAGCAAAAACACTTTTTTTCAGGGAATTTCACCTCTAGAGGTGATCCTGCAAATGAGGCAAATAAAACAGGTCTTGAGCCAGTGTGTGCCACCAACAGACCTGCAGGGCTTGTTGTCCATGAAGACACATCCCATCTCCACCACATGACCCGGCACTCTCACCTCATCACTCCCCCACACACGCATGTCCCTGTCATTGCCCTGCCATAGCAGAGGCATGTCCTTGTTGCATTCTCACTGCACCAGCTTTGCCCCTGCCTAGCCACAGGGAATGCCCTCAACAAGGGACTGGGGACTCCAGGGATCTGTGGCTTTTTTATCACACATCTGTCACCCCATGATCAAATACACAAGGTGAAAGGTACGCTCTTATCTCTGCCCTTAGGTATTGCTTCTCATACATGCATTTTACAGTGCTGCAAAACCCACAGTGCTGGATGCCAAATGAACACATGAGAAATAGTCCTTGCCCTGACTACCTTGAATGTGAAGCAGGCAAGAGAGAAGTAAAGATGGAGGAGGAAGCACAGGCATGGGAATGTAAAATTAGACAGAAGAATAGATGGAGGAGGAAGCACAGGCATGGGAATGTAAAATTAATCATCCAAGGTCACACAACGACCTCACCTCCTCACAGGCAAATCCATCAGATGGTGGTTTCACTCCTTTCTGAATTCATATTTGTATAAGTTATTTATTAAGGATTACGTATTATTCTGCCCAGACTGGAATCTTTTTTTCATATGTGAAACATGGGGCAAGAAAGCAGAACTCGCCTATTCAGGAAGGAAATGCATTTCCTTGCCTAACATGATTTCTACATTCTATCAGCAGGGTTTATAAAATGAAGAAAAGCAACTAAATGCCTAAAAGGCAAAAAGCACATTGACAAATTCCTGATGAGGTAACAAAATGAGAAGACATAGCAACATCTTAAAAACAAAATTAAAAATAAAAAAGGGAGTGATTATGAATATCAAAAACCAATAGTGATTTTTGGCTTCCCACTTTATGGGTGTATCAAGAGATATCTAAAAAAGCTTTTTGTTTGGTTAAAGGCCCTCGTGTTTTCCAGAAGGCAGGTTTCCTAGGATGCTCTTTTCTTGACATCACAAGTGGAAGCACCAAAATCTGTACTTATTTTTAAAATGTGGTCCATTCTCAAGAACCTTTAAACAGCCTTCGTCAAAGGCTGTCCAGGCTCGATTCTGCTCGTCCATGCATGGCAAAGCAGGTGCTTTGGGCAGCTGACAGCCAGTGTTGGCCATTGATAGGCAGCAGAACCCAGCCCTGCAGGTGAACCCTGCTTGACTCATGGATTGTTTCAAAGAGCACATAAATCTCCCAGCTAATGAGGGAATGCATCTTTAGATAACAATATATACAAGAAGCTGTGTTTAAAAATACATACTCACCCCATACTTGACACACACAGTAAGCACTAAACTTGTAGATAATCACAAAAATACTTTTTTTGTTGGTTATTACACCAACTATTGTCCTGATGCAGAAGCTGAGGCAGAAAGGGCTGTGTGGCTTAGCCAAGGTTACACGGTGATTCAGTAGTGTTACATCAGGTTCGTAATTCACTCTTTTAAACAGATCCCTCTACCTTTGTCCAGTGCTCTTAAAATAATTTACCACTGTGTAGAAAGCCATCCTGCCAAAAGCTGTCCTTCAGTGAGATAAGCATTTCGTTTTAGTTCACATTATCCCAGAGACATCTGGGAAGATAAGTATTTTATAATGTTTATCATTCAGATCTTTTCTTTTTTTTTTTTTCTAAAGAAATAACCTTTCTTTCATCCAGTAATGACAAGAAACTCCAGATGAATGCTGTTTCATTTCTTAAACAACAAAGAAGCTTCTCCTAGAGCTAGCACAGCCATCAAACGTTACTGATTATTCTCTAAAGATGCATTAACATTTAAAAACAGTGTCTCGCCATGTGGTTTCTGGTTTTGAGAAGGAATATGATAAGCCTTTATCAATATAAGAAGTGAGTAAAATCCACTTCTCAAATCTCCTTCCAAAAATTTCCTATTATCCACCGTGTCTTTCCAGCACCCTCAGGGAGGCCTCACATTTCCTTCTTATGAGCTTTGTTCTGGTAAGGGAGAGGTAAGCTAGCACGCATTTGAAACCCAGTTTACTTCTTACCAGATAGAGGAGGGTACAAAGTTAGTGGCATGTGTAAAGTCTGCCCTTCCCATGGTTCATGTGAACAGCTGCAAGGCAGAAGAGAGGTCCAGGGAGCCCACACCATGCCAGGTTCATGCAGGAAGATAGGAGATTAGGAACAAAGAGGTTAAATCTCGCTTTGGTTTGCAGAGATGGCCTTCTTGGATCTGTCAGTAAGATGACTCGTTTGTTAATACCTCCTGAGGCAGCTCTAAAAGAGAGGCAAAATCCAATTGGACCAGGGCTGCTATGAGCATGGAGGGGTTTTATATCTCTTTTTTGGTGCCTGCAAGTCAGGAGGTTGGAAAAAGTTACAGGGGGAACCAAGTGAAGTCAAAGCTTTGAAAGAATACACAATTTGAAAGAGTAGGGGAGGAGGTTGAGAGGAGAGGGGCAGGAGCTGGCTGGTGAGAGCAGGAGAGGAGACCAGTCAGGGTCAGTGGTGTTGCGGGAATAGGAGGCTGGGAAATGCCAGAGGAGTTTCAGACAGTTGTGAGAGTTTTTACAGGTTTGTTCTGGCTCATTCTCTCCAGTCAGTCTCCTTCCCAAGAATTTTTTCAGCATTTTCCAAGGTCAACCTCAAGGTCGTAGCACAGCTATATGGCAAAAAGGCAGCATGTTCACAGTGTTCTCACACACTCAGCTTCTGCCCCTGCTTCAGTTAAGTGCTGCAGGACAGAAAGCCTGGCACATCTCCCTTTCTGGTACCTTCTCCCTTTGTGTACATCTGAGCCAGGTGTTCCTGGATTTCTGACTTCTTCCAAGGACAGTATCATGGCACCAAGTTAACACGGGTTTCCTGAAGGTTCTAAGGGGGCTGATGTTTCCCATTAAAGCATACATGCTCCAGCTCATGAGGTGGAGCCCTGGGGGCAGCTAGCCCTGTAGTATTTGTTGCATATTTTACACTTTCTCCTGAATCTAGGTCAAGCCACAGAATAATCAAGGCCTTGATTTGCTAAAGCACCTTCCTAGCTAATTTAGTGGTTCTTGACTCACTGGCTTTTTTTAAGCCTCTTGAAAAGCAAAATGAATTGCTTGAAAAACTGAGCTAAAAAACCCTCTGCTTCCCCACTCCTCCTTCTCTGGCAGGATTTTACCTCATTGTCCATCTTTTTTCTAGAGATGCACTCTCTCTTTTTCACTACATGAATTGCCAAAGAGACAAACAGAGTCTGCCCCAGGGCTTGTCTCAGTTCTTCTCCCCTGGGCTGCTTTTCTATCTCTTGCTAACATGCTGTATTGCCTTGTACCATTGACTCCTTGATAGCCCAGCTCCTGTTTTATCCCACACTCCCTTTAGGTCTGAAACACACCATTGCATCTGCTCCACATGGGGTCTTCCTCCTGCTTGTCTATTAACCTACAGCTGTGCTGAAGCTCTCATGCACACACATTTGACAGAGCTCTCATCTAAGCAGGATCCACTTGCAACCACGTGAGCCAGATCATTGCCTTAGTAGGTGATGTGATGAGATGTGCACTGCGGTTTTCAGAGAGTTGGGAAGCTGAAGAGTACCCAGGAAAACAAGTTTGTGCTCTCTATTTCAAGTGTGCTTTCACTGTGCAAACCTGTGCTTTCCCTGCTTGCGACTCGGCTACTGGATTTTCTATTCCATTCTCAGAAAACATGCTCTCTGTTAACCCCCAGATCCAGGGCTGCCTTGAAGGGTTGCCCTGCTCACACCAGTAAGTCAGCACTCTGTGTTCAGATGGGGCTGACCCGGAATTGCATCACTGTATGATCCTCAGATCAGATAGCCTGAGCAGACTGGATGGACAGGGCCAGATTCAAACTGAGGCCATCTAAGCAGCCTGTCCATCTCCAAGAGATGGACACAAACGATCTCCCACAACTGTCAGGAGACTGTCAACCCCAGAGCCCAGAATTCCGGGTCCTGTAGGCAGCTATCAGGATGGAAATACAATGAGGATATTTATGGCAGCAACTGAGCTAGTATTACTCCCAAAACCATTGGGTTTGTTGAAAATCTCTGGATTTGCAAGGGAAAGAAATCTTTGCCTTCCTTTTGTCAGTCCCATATTTTGTTTA